GGCACTCTCGGCTGTGATTCATGTGTCCTTATTGCATACGGTCATTGGCAAGATACGCATCGTAAGCTCTCCACTCGGCTTGGTCGTGAGCATGCGCTCTTGTTAGTCCGAGTCAAGTATACGGACATAGACTACATGGTATACACTGATGCGGCTAGAGCTGTGTATAGCGGAGGCAGCCCTTTCGAACGGCACACATATCGCTATACGCCGCTACTGTGAGAACGTCATTGCTTGCAACAGCTGACATAGTGTTTTCGCTGACCCTTAGAGCTTGGCTGTTGGTACCTAACATAAGTGTACACATCACCTTCGGCAAGGTGCTCTTCTCGTTGTGCGACATGGCGATTGGTTTCATGTTGTAAGTGCGCCGCCGCCGTCGCCGTCCCCAGTGAATGGCTGGCATTGACAAGAGGTCTGCTGCAGGTACCGGATGCTGAAGGACGCTGGTAAGAGCCCCTCGACGGCCAGCAAGTTGTCGGCGACGTGGCTTCTATCACCTATCACATTGAATGTCTCAACGAGGGGCAACGCGGGTAGGACTATGCTCCTTTGTGTGCCCGGCGAGTAGTTTTCAGACTCCCTCATTTGCTTGATGGTCGTCGCCACACTTTACCACATCCAACGAGGGGAGTGGATTCGGAGCGCCCTGTGGTTCGGCCTTAGTGTGCACATGAAGATCTTCCCTGTTATCTATGCTATCCCATTGGTCATGTAGGAATACTGGGGAGCCACTGGGAGATGGACACGAGTTGGCCGCTCATCGATAAGGTACCTCAATCCGGACTTCCTAGCATTCAGTCGAGTGGACTTGTTGAAGGCGATCAAGCTTAACAGCAAACAAGTGAGTGCCTGTTGAATCGTGGCTTGCTCATGGAGTGCTCAGATATGGTATACAGTCATCAGCGCTGGACTGTTCTTCCTCCTGCTTGCGGTACTCTATTGTGTGTATGGTTGGGAATTCTTATACGAGGTAGGGTCCTGGATCGGCTTGACGGAAGTGGCACATCTCTTCCCAGACGTACCTCTACCATTTCGTCCGAATAGATCATCGCCATAACTTTTCGATCTTCTTCTATTTGATGTAAGTTTTCCTATGCGATTCCATGTGTGTCCCATTGAGTGTTGTAGGTACCTGTCAGCAGAGACCCCCTCGATAGCTCTATCGGTGGTTACGTTCATCCCACAGTGGGTGGCAGTCCTCGCTGTTGGATGCGGATTTAGTAGAACCAGCCTCAACATGGGCAGCTTCCTCCAGGTAACGCCTTGCCCATCCCTAACGCCTATGCATCATTCTCCAGACTCTACTCTTTGTGGCTTTCAACAAGGTGTGCACGGCACAGTACTTTGTATGGTATCTCGCTCTGCTACCATTGGCGTTGGGCCAACTCAAGCCCACTGTGAGCAAAACTTGGCTACTGGCACTTGGAGGTGGGCCGGGTCTGCATGATGTCATGACGTTAATCACCTCTCGTTGTGATCGTCTTTACCGCACCTCTGCTGTTCAATTGGATATTTCTCAGTATTGTGGCTGTCAACTGAAGGTCTCTGGTTGTTCTTTGCGTATGAACTCGAGTTCGAGGGAAGGAATACGTAAGTCGGACCGCTTACTCCTGAGTGCCTCCATCAGATTGCGCTGCTGTGCGCAGGTTCATTGAGCTTTTCGGAGCCTCGACGCTCTTCTTTGCTGCTCATATAGCGATAGCATGCACGTTCATTGCCAACTACGATTGGCATGTATCAGCCGTGAATGATGATCATCGGAAGGGTGCCGCCCCCAAGATGAAGATGGGAAATGAGGCTAAGAGTCTAAGAAGTGCAAGTGATCGCTTTGTTAAGTCGTTGTACACTAGAGTTTGCAGCGTTTCTATGCCTTGGTGCATGTGT